CGCGTATGTCGCCTGCAGCCAATGAGTGGATGACGCAAACTGATTGGCTCGTGCAAAGACGCGGGTGGCTTCAATAGCGAGTCGATCAAGAGAGAGAAGTGGGCTGGAAGGCATAAGTAAGCCGTTTTGCTGGCAGTCAAGGGAGCGACTTCCACAAGGTCACTGTGTCCTGTATTCATGAAAACCTTATCCGATAGTTTCGTCTGCTAGACAACGTCAGCGTAAACTTGGTGAGTGAAGCCTGCTAATAGAGCGGATAAAGGCTAACATGTCACTATAATATTGTAGCGTTTTGTGAGCCCTCGACACGACTCGCAATCATAGCACTACCGTTTTACTACTGCATGTTTGGTGAATAGCCACATAATTGTCGATGGCTCAAAACATCAAACAGGCCTTCTTCAGTTCAAAAGAGCCGACTCAACTTCGGATGTGGGAACAGCCCGAAGTGAATCGTTGACCGCTAAGACCTTTGAAGCGCCTACGTGTGTGTAGTTAGAAGAATTGCCTTCCCTGGGTGAGCATTCGATAAGAACATAAAAATGACTCACCAAGTGAGATATGAAGCCAACAGTTTATCAAGGAAGTTTGTATTGGCATCCCGCTCGTGTAAAATGTTGTAGAAGTTTGCTAGGTAGGGCGTTATGTCGACGTCGCGTTTCGGTTGAGTACCATCTGCACTGCTAGGTGCTCGTATGATGTCCATGCCGAGAAGCCATGACCTGCAGAAGCTCCCGGCGGTTGCAGATGGCGAGACGGCAGTCGGTGCCGTGCCTGGGCTCCAGTGAGTTGGACTCCCAACACTTTGCCTTAGGAGAGGGGGGTGGGGATGTGAATGTGCAGTCCAAAAGTGGTGGTGGCGAAAAAGACATCATTCGCATTTAGCCAGGCCAATCGCTCACCTGTCCTTAACTTTGCATATGCGCACAGAACGGATGTAGTCATGTTCCTCGAGGAAACTCGCGAGATCGCGCAGTCTGGAATCAATCAGACCGCCCAGACGTACCAACTCCTGGTAGTCGTCCGCGGTGAGCTCCAGCTTTAGGAAGTGTCTGAAACCCGGCGTTGAAGAAGTACAGAAGACGCTGACTTACCTATGATCTTGACGCAGATCGTAGACTTCAAACAGTTCAGTCCACTTAGCTTCGCCGCGGATAATCTTCTTGACCAGGTTATTAGCTACAAGTTATTTTTAAAAAAATGTGCGTCAGACTTTCTCAAAGGCAGTGACAATTACTATCCCACAAAAAGCGCACTCTGTGCAAACACGTTTGCAGCAGATAGTCACTGAAGATAACTGCATGCATGCGACCCTAATTCTGAAAAATTAGATAAGCACACCAGTAACAAACTTCTGTCGCGTATGATTAAAAATAATTAGATGAGAAAATCAACGATTAAACTGACTGCTAAATGGGCCCCTAGTGGAAAAAGTGTGCAGATAAATGGTCGATTTGTAGTAAGTGCAATACTTTAGTCGTCTGGCGTTCGACAAGGCTGTGTCCTGTCGCTCATCCTCTTTAACTACGCCATTGAACGGGTTCTCGGGAAGGCCCTACAGGAAAATGACGGTATTGAGCTTGCACTCGGGCGTCGGTTGACTGACCACAACTATGCCGATGATATCGCTTTACTCGCTTCA